AGCGATGGAGGTGGGAGCCGGTGTGGGGTGAAGAAGGCTGCAGGGAGCTGGTGTGGGGCAAGAGATGGCAATGGTGTGGGGCGAGGGATGGAGGTGGGAGCCGGCGTGGGGCGAGGGATGGAGGTGGGAGCCGGCATGGGACGAGGGATGGAGCTGGGAACTGGTTTGGGGCGAGGGATGGAGCTGCTGTGGGGTGAAGAGGGCTGCAGGGAGCCGGCACGGGGCGAAGGATGAAGTTGGTGTAGGGCGAGCAATGGAGAAGGATGCGCTGGGATAAGCTGATGTGAACAGCGGCTGCTCCGCTTGCAGGTGTCAGAGGCCCCGAGTGGCCCCTCGGCCCCGCGTGGCCCCATGAACGTGGTGCAGGACAGCTATGAGTCAGTGATCTCCCTGGGTAAGGCTCTCCCGTGCCTCCGTGCTCCTGGACCGCAGCAGTGATGGTCACTGGGGACTTTCTGCAGGCTATAAATCCAGCTGTGGCCACCGTGACACCCGCCTCCTGCAGGGCCGCCTGCGCCAAAAGGCGGGGAGCATGTCCACCAGCCCTCGCTGTCACGGGTGCAGTGGTAGCCCAAATTCATTGTCTGTGCTCGTAGCGATCAGGGGGACCGCTCCATCCTGCTGGGACCCAGTGTTCATCCTGGGCTGGCGCTGCCTATCAAGAAGGGCTTTTTGTGCTGCTCCATTCGGTGGCAGCAGTCTGACCTTGCGTTGTATTGCTGGCCCCCGCAGAGATTTTGCCTTTGGTTTTCCGCTTCCGTTCATGGGGGTCAGGAGGAGAAGTCTTTGCAACTGTTTCATAACTGTTTCTGTCTAATTTGTGCTGCTTTCTGCCAGCGGAAGAGATCGCCATGAGCTGGCCACGAATATGTGCCTTTGCAGAGCCCCCCAGGTGCCTAAGCTTGCTGTGCTGTAAGTTGTCGGCCAGGAGGAAAAAGCCACGGCCTCAGTTATTAGCCCATCTGCTAGAAGGTCCTTTTCGGGCCGCTCTGGGAGCAGGACGTCCCCTGCTGCATGCGCTAGGGTGGGTCTGGGGCAGCAGAGGGTTCACAGCCACAAGCATGGGGCTCCCAGGGACCCTTCTTCACCCTGCCTGTAATTTCCCCTTCCCTGATTCCTTGTGTTTTCCATGCTCCCACCCTGGTGCCATACACCTTGTGCCTCCTGCCTGGAGATGCATGCTGGGCTGGCAGAAAGCCCTTTAATTTTATAATAACTCTCCTTAATTTTATTATAAATAAATGAGTAGAAAACTAATAATGGCTACAGAAAGGCCAGATTTTCGCTTTAAAAGAAAGCTTGTCTGCAAAGGACCAAAAAAAAAATGTTGCCAGCTTGGTTTTGAACAATGTCTACAGCAGAGGTTGATTAATTTATTCGATCTGAAAGGTGGACATTAAAGTGGATGTTTAGAATTCACCGAACAAAAAAGCAACTGTTTCTTTAACTTCCGCAGCTTCATAAGCTGTATTCTTGCCCCCAAAACTGGTGTAAAGAATGATATAAAGAGGGACTAAAATCCCTGCATTCCACTTCTGACTGCAGAAAACTGTATAGCTGTTATTCAATCTGGTCAATACTTTACTTATAGCTTTAAATTTTTGGACATTGACTTCTGGTAGAAGAATCTGCCTACTGATACAGTTTAGTTAGGACACCCCAGCCATATTTTATGCTAGCAAATAACGGGAAGCTTATTCCAGTGAACTGTAAAGATTTCCTTGTGGGAATATACTTGTCATAAGATATATGCAGTTGTCCATCACCAACACCTCCTTTGCTTTGCAGATGTTGACATGGAGCCACCCCGGGGGCAGCTGGAGCCGCCGCAGGGTCTGGCAACGACCCCCTGGAGCCAGGGGCTGTTGCTGCCCGATTTCCGGAAGCAGCTCATGGCCATCATGCAAACCATCGGCCAGAGCCAGGTGGAGAAAATGCTACGGGAGCTGGTGAAGGAGCAGAAGCAAGAAGGGAGAGTCCAGTGGTGCCGCAGGCCCGTGAAGAGCCTTGGCAGCGGAGGTACAGGGTGGCAGAGCAGGGACGTGCTGCAGGTTTCTGCTCTGCCCTTCTTCCCCGCAAGACATGCGTTTCTCTCTGTTGCAGCAGGCAGCAGGACTCAGAAAGTGAAGGAAGAAGTGCCTCCTCAGGACGGCGGCGTGGAGCCGACGGGTGCCTGGGGCATGTTTTCAGGGATGCCCAGAGGCTCAGAGCAGCACCCAGCCCTGGCAGCCCAGCAGGGCCCTGAAGAGGCACCCGAGAGCCCTCCGGCAGCCCCCCATGGCAAACCGGCTCGGGCGGGAGCCCTCGGGAAGGCCAGAGACGTCCCAACCCCTCCAAAACGCTGGCCAGAGGAGCAGGGCCGAGGCTGGGGGGCCGGCTGCAAGGAGGGCTGCGGTGGGCCGTGCGCCGCCCCCC